ACCATGGATATTTTCTTTTTAAGGAAGATTTTTTAAAAAAACAGAGTTACATTTACTTATTTTTGCCTTTTCATATTTTTATTTTTTATTGTGGAGAATTTTGAAAGCACAGAAAAGTAAACAAAATATTATAATTAACTTCATGTATGCCTACACCCAGTTCCAACAACCAAAACCCATGGTCAATCCTGTCCCATCCTTAAGCCCTATCCACTTTCCCCAGCCCATTTATAGTGAAGGAAATTATAGATATATCAGTTTTTCTGTAAATATTTTAGTATGTATCTCTAAAGCATAAAGATTATTTTTAAAAATTTAATATACCATTATCACACCTTCATTAAAAGAAATAATTCCTAGCCACACATAGTGGCTCGTGCCTGTAATCCCAGCACTTTGTGAGGCAGAGGCGAGAGAATTGACTCAGCCTACAGGTTTGAGACCAGCCTGGGAAACATGGTGAGACCTGATCCCTACTAAAAAAAAAAAGAAATAATTTTTTAATGTCAAAAAGCCAGTTGGTTTCAAATTTCTAATTATTTGATAAATGTTATAAAGTTATGTTGGTTTATATATAAATAGCATATAAAAATAATGTATTTTAAAATTTATTCATAATTTATATATGTTATACACACACATATTGATTGATGTGTATCAAGATCCAAATAATGTCTGCACATTAATTGAGATGCCTTTCTAAGTGGATATAGTTTAAAAATATTTTAATGATTGCTAATTTGATTGATTATTGATTTCTAGCTTAATTTTATTGTGATGATACTTATATTAATTAGTTCCTTTGAAATTTACCTAGACTTTCTTTATGGTCTAATACACAGTCAAGTTTTTAAATACTTCATATTTACTTGAAAAGAATGTATAATTTTATTATTGGTCATGGACTTCTATATTTGTCCACTAAATACAGCTTTTTTTTTTTTTAAGTTGGAGTCTCACTCTGTTGCCCAGGCTGGAATACAGTGGCATACTCATGACCTCTGCAGCCATGACCTGCTGGGCTCCGGCAATCCTTCTGCCTCAGCCTTCCAAATAGCTGGAACTATAGGCGTGTGCCGCCACACCTAGCTAATTTTTCTTGATTTATCGTAGAGATGAGATCTCGCCAAGTTACCCAGGCTGGTCTCGAACCCATGAGCTCAGGCAATCCTCTCACCTCGGCCTTCCAAAGTTCTGGGATTATAGGCATGAGCCACTGCGCCCAGCCTAAATATAACTTTTTAATCTTTAGTTTTTTTCTCTTTACTTACACTTTTTTTTTCCTTGAAACTATGGAGCTTCCAATAGTCTGCATATTTCAGTGAGCATCCCTGTGGTATAGTTTAACATGTTCTTCTGCTTTCTTGAAACTCTGTATTTCCATAAATTGACAGCTGGATCTAGATCAGTGATTAGATTCAATGTTGATTTTCTTTTCGTAGGTTATACATAGATGGTGCTGTGTTCCCTGATCATGAAACTTGTAATAGTTGTCTTTTTTGTGATGTTAACAGCCATTGATATTCAGCATCTAGTCCTTTAGTTCATTAAAAATTGTAAAATGATAATTTAGTTCTATTATTCCTTCTTCATTTACTAGCTGGAATCCTTTTACAATGAGAAACTTACCCTCTGATTATTTGTCTATTCAATGAAACAATTTGTATATGAAAGGTGAAATAAATGCTTGTTTTTCTTTATTCATTTGTCAATATAGTAAGTTTGTTCCCTAGCTTAGTCCAGTGGTGATTATTTTTTTTGTATCATTATGAACTTGTTAATTTAAATGTATTTATTGTCTCAGTTCATGGCATTTATTATTCATACTGATGTGTAAGTTGTCGTATTTCCGGCCAGTCAAAGCCTTTTCAGGTTCTTTTGTAACAACCATAGTGGTGTTTGATAGTTTTTGTGATATATGGATGAGACGTTCCAAGTTCATCTTGTGTATTTCCCCATTTCTTCAGTTACTTTTAATGAGAAATGATATGTGGAGGTTACAATTTGGATGCCAGGGGTATACATTTCTTTGGGATTTGTCGTTATTTTTAATCCTTTCATTGGATGGAGCTAGAAAATATACATCCATGTGAGTGTATATTTTTTATTTAAGGTGAAACACGTCATGGAGTTTAAACTAATACTTCCAATTTATTTATTTTTATTTTTTTAATTAAAATTTTTTTTTAATTTTAAAGATGTGGGGTACAATTCAGGGTTAGGTATACAAATGTTCAGTATGCAGATGCCCTCGTTGATGAGGTGTGCCCCTCCCTCCTCTGGCAGTTTCCCTCAACTGCCAATCCTACCTCTCCGCTTCCCTAGCAGTTTGCCACTACTGCCAATATCTTTCTTATAATTACTTCCAATTTTAATTTAGCACCATAAGGTTAATTTTTTCCCTACTACATGTCTTCCTTTCTCTGTTATCAAAAATCCCATTTTCTTAAGGATGCTGGGGATGGCAGAATTATGATACTCCATCTCACTCATTCAGCTTGTTCCTCATCTAGTGACCTCAGAATAGTAGTACTAAACCAATCACTAACAGCATGATTCCTACAAGTGTGATGGTATTGTTTTATATCATTGTTTATAGATACTTGTTTTTTTCTCATATCAGTTTTGATAAATTATACTTTTTAAGTAGGAATATGTCTGTTTCTTATAAATTTGTATAGTGCTGGCACAAAATTGTCCTGTATCTTTATTATTGTTTAAACCACTGCTGTCAATGAAGTTGTATTCTCATTTTCATTCTTGCCATTACTTATTTGTATCTTGTTTTTCTTTTTGCTTTATTTTATCAGAAGTTTGTTGATCTCATTAGTCTTTGGAAGAAAAACATTTTGGCTTTTTGAGACTCTATAATATCTTTATATTTAATTAATTTATCTATCTCTCCCCATTTCTTCTGTTTTCTTTGGATTTATGTATTTTTTTCCTCCTCTAACTTCTTAGGGGAGTTACTTGTCTCATTATTTTCCATGTGCGACCGGCTGTGTAGGCGAAGCCGCAAGCGCAAAGGCATTCACCAGGACAGATCTTAATTAAGAAAGCTTGATTTACTTCCAGGAAGATACCTTGTAAAGGGCACAACAGGCAGAACAGGAGCAAGAATGTCTGCTGTCAGCAAAGAGGCAGTGGCCTGAGGGTCTTCCCAGTGGTATTTGACTCTCTATGGTTAGGGTGAGTTTTTGGAGTCCCATCTTACATCTGAGTTCCTAGCACGCAAATGAGGCAGTTCTGAGGGGTTGATATCTGACCTTGATTGGCTACTTATGGGCCAACTGGAGGTTTGTAAAGCTGCTGGTCAGCTGTGGGGTTTTGTTTCTTTGACAGTAACAGTTGACTGTTCTTTGTTCCTCATGGCCAGCATCAAACGTTTTACAGCTGGCCGTTCAGCTTTTACAATTCTCATTCTGAGATGTCCTCAGCACTGTTAGCTTACCCAATTGGTGCTGGCCTAGTCGGGCTTTATGTGCCTCCACATTATTCACGACCTTTTCTTTCCTCATAGAAATACTTAAGGTTATTATTTTCCATTTCGTGTATCGTTATAAATAGCAATTTGTAAGTTCTAATTTGATAGAGTCTCCTAAATAAAATTTGATATAAATATAAATAAATTTGGCATAAATAGTAATTTGTAAGCTCTAATTTGATAGTCTCCTAAATAAATCTGATAGACTCTCCTAAATAAAACTATTCTCCAATAGGTTTATGTATTTCTTATATAATGTTTTGCAATCTTCTGAGAATGATTTTTTTTTCTGTCTTTTAGCAAAGGAATCTTGGTAATTTCTCCCCATTTATTGTTTATAACTTCATTTATAGCATGGATATACCTAGTTTTGCATTATTGGATCTGTTACTAAGTTTTTCTTTTTTCTTAGTTCTTTTTCTGATAATTCTTTCACAGGTCCTCCTTAAGTTTTTTTTTTTTTTTAACTGTAGTCCGCCCCTCCAACGGTCTGAGGGACAGTGAACTGGCCCCCTGTTTTAAAAGTTTGAGGACTTCTGCAAGAGTTTCAAAAACTGTGTTCCTGTGCTCTGCAGTACTCCTTTCACTATTCTTTCTATGGTGCCTGGCTTTTCTTCAACTTTAGACTAGTTGGTTTTCCTGTGACCTCAGCTCTCTTAGGAGTTCCCCAAAGTTGCAGTGTTCAGATTATCTGGATTTTGTTGTCATTAGGGTGGGAATGAATGCTCTTTCCAGCCAGACACATTCTTTTTCTTATCAAGTCATTTTTGGTAAATTCAAATTTCAAATTGCCATATATCATTTTGCATTAGCACTACCATTTGAATGTCTTTTTCCTACAGATATATTTTCTTTTATATTTATGTGTATCTTCATTGAAGTTGTATTTCTTTCTATGGTGGTCTCTTAGGTACTTAATTTGTATTTGAAATATTTCAATGTTTATAGGTTAAAGAGTATTCTTTTAATATGTAAGTTTTAAGTTTATGAGTTCTCTGACTTCCTCAATTTTTAGTTCTGATTTTCAAATTATTGACATATGTTATCTAGAGTTATACACTACAACTTGAGGACTTGTTTTGTTCTTATAACATTAGAAAAACATTAAAGTGTATAAATTTTTTTGCTGCCAGATTTTTTATTGATCGAGCTTATTATTTTAGTATACCTAGCTAATTTTAAGGTGATGTGAAAATTATTTGCTCATGGCATAATTGTGTGACAGAATTGATTTTTATTACCAAGAAATTGTTAATATTGATAAAATATTTTTTGAAAATATTTTAACTGAGCTGCTGGTGTCTTATTTTTTAAAATATAGTATTATAAAAAGTTGTTGATAGATTATTTTTAGCAGATGTCTTTGACATATTGAACTGCTATTGTTATTTTAAATAAATGATACTGTATCATCATGTTGGAAACAATATTGCATATTTTAACCTAATTTTACCTCCTCGTTGCGTTCATGAACTTTAACAGTGGTTTGCTAAATGTTTTCTTTTTCTCTTTATAGGTTATTTTAGTGTCTGCCAATAAATTGACTCGTTACATAGAACCATGCCAATTAACAGAAGATTTTGGTGGGAGTCTCACCTACGATCACATGGACTGGTTAAATAAGAGGCTGGTTGGTATATTACAATGAGATAAAATGTTATCGCACATATAATGTTATAATTTTAATCAACTAAAAATGTAGATTCTTTTCTTTTTTACAAAAATGGGGAAATAATAATACATAGCATAACGTTTGTGGACAGATGCTGTGGAGTCATACTAACTTAATTAGAATCCTGATACCAGTTGCTAGGTTTGTGGCCTTCAGAAATGTATTTTGTCTTTCCTTATCTTGGTTTTCACATCTCTAATATGGAAGTAATAAAAATAATAGTATCTACCTTGTGGGATCATGGGTAAAATGAAATGAATATACATATAAAGCAGAATACCACCTTACATGACATAGTAGCACTACATAAATGTTAGCTATTATTGTTGTTGTTAGTAGCATTAGTAGGAGTTGTACATTTTTAAAGTAGAAAAACAGAGTAATATAATCTCTTAAGAGGTGATCTAATTGATACCATTTTCAGAGGATATTCAAACCTCAGTTTGAATTATCAATTTAAAGTGCACTTTGAGAGATTAAACATTTTCATTTCTGAATATGTGTCTTCTGACACATATTTCTGGAACAGATTTCTGGAACCTACTACCCTGTAAAATTTGAATTATTTTTATATTGAATTACTAAAAGCACAGAGTTCAGATTAATGCAGTTTAACTTATATGTTAGTTTTATTGGGGAATAGTGGACTTTTGGTTATCTCTGGAAGGATAACCATTTCTATTTTCACTATATTTATAAAGTGATATCAGACAAATGATTGTCTACTTGTCTGTGAAAATAGTGGTTTGAATGTAAATCTAAATTTACCACAAGTAGTTTAAACAGGCTTGCCCAAATCTCTTTTTAAAAATATTTGAAGAAATCATATTAAAATTATACCTAATTTGCTTAATCTACATACTTGTATATATAACTTAACTGTTACATGTAGCCAACATGTCTTGGTGTAGAATAACATAATGAAATGTTCTATAACCGTTATTGTAGGCTTAGAACTTGTCTAAACAACATTTATATAGTTACAACTGTTACCAGTGCAAATGTTTCTCAAAGAAACACAGGAATAAAAATAAACTTGTCTGAATGGAGAATACAAATAATTTCTAATGTGTTTAAAATTTTACAATTTCTTATATAAAACTAACTATTCATTGTTTTAGGAAGTGGTTTTGTCTTCTCTTGTGTGCATTGTTGTGCTCTGGTGGTTGAATTGCACTAAATGACTTCAGGGGAAGGAAAGGGAATCCTGGCTGGCTAATTCTGTTGCTCTTAACTGACAGTCCTTATTACTTAGTAATGCTTAAGACGATTCTAAGTATGTTAACAAAATCTTATGTTGTAGGTTTTTGAGAAGTTTACAAAGGAATCTACATCACTATTAGATGAGCTTGCCTTGATTAACAATGGCAGTGATAAAGGAAATCAGCAAGAGAAAGAAAGGTAAGTGACTCGTGATGGCAATTATATCCTTGCAAAACTATGATTAATCTGATAAAATATACCTCTGTTGTTAATGAAAGCCAAAAGAACTACAGTAAACAAGACTCTATTCTAATAAAATTGACATACATTATTCATGAGAATTTGCTTTACATGTAAAACATATTTATTTAAATCAAAGTTTCTTTACAAAAGCCATTTTTTATGACTAGTAATGTATTTACTTTTCTGACACTATGTAAAATGTTCAGTTGCAAGAACACATTTTCAAAATGAAATAATTTTCTACTTTCTTAGTGTTATATTCTTTACTGGTAAAGAACATAAAAGAGGTTGCAGATTGAAATAAAATTATTATAACCTTATTTAAATACATTAGCACTTAAATGTCTAGCTTGTAGAACTTCTGTCCTTGTAAAATATATGATATTCATGAGTTCAACTTAGGGAATTTAGTGTTTTGTGACACAAGATGAAGTAACATTTGGGCTGTATTGTGTAAATGTAACTATCTAGGTTTATTATTTTAACAGATTTCCATTGAACTTTACAACCTTGTCAGCTTTTATTTTTCTGTTGGTAAACTAAGTCCCTCTCCTTAAGTTAAAAAGCACCTTAGGAAACAAACTAACTTTTCTAGTCTTTTGATTATTGCTGGTCACTAGAACAGAAATTTTTCATTAGGAAATTTGGAAGAATCAATATAAGAGGGGACACACACAAAAAATGGAATTTATTTAAAACTTTTGTATTTATTCTTACATGGTTGAACTTCAGTCACCTTCAAAGTACTCTGTTTGATGCAGTATACCTATTGAGACACCTTTTCCACTTCAAAACAGTGTTTGAGCTCGTCAATTTTGATGACTTTTAGTGGTTCTGCCATTTTTTGTTTCATTTCTTCCATGTTGGCAAAACATTTCCTTTGAGGAATTTTTCATCTGAGTAAACAAAAAAGAGTTTCTCAGGGAAAGATCAAGTAAATAGGGAGAGTAGCCACTTTTTCATCAAAAACTACTGAACACTCAGCACTGTGTGGGCCCAAAAAATCACCCATCACAAAATAGGCTTTGGATCTGACTTTGACAATCCAAAGTAAGAGGGATGTAAGACGATCATAGTTTTAATACCAAGTCTTGATGAAAACAAAGTCAAAATGTGAAAATAGTGGTTTCAGTGTAAATCTAGTTAAATTTGCCACAAGTAGTTAGGAACATTCCTATGCTATAGATGCCATATAAAAATGTAAAATAAGTTTTTGCCTATATATAAATATGTGATTGTGTGTATGTATACAGATATCACACACATATATGCTATGGTTTAGGAATTGAAAATGTCACAATTAGCTGAACTTCTTTGCTTTCCCATTAGTTCCTCAGAGTAAGTTTGATGTTTCCTTGTTATGTTCCTGAGGAAAGACATCCTAAGAGAAAGAAAGCCTGTAGAAAATGAGTTCATAGCCGGGTATGGTGGCTCACACCTGTAATCCTAGCACTTTGGGAGGCCGAGGTGAGGGGATTGTCTGAGCCCATGGGTTTGAAAACGGCCTGGGCAACTTGTCGAAACCTCATCTCCATAATACATCAAAAAATTAGCCGTGTGTGGTAGCTTGCACCTGTAGTTCAGGCTACTTGGAAGGCTGAGGCAGAATGATCGTCTGAGCCCATCAGGTCAACATTGGGGTGGCCATGAGCGTACCCTGCACTCCAGCTTGGGCAACTCCAGTTCAATAAAAGAAAAAAAGAAAATGAGTTCATGGTCAAAGAGTTTAATGCTGTTGACTGTGTTTCCCTCTGAGAGTGATTGTGAACGTGACAGATTTCAGGGTCTGAAGAAGCACTGTAGCATAGAAGCCTGTTTAATTGCTTCCTTAAGGTGTATCTTGTTCAATGTTTGGGGAAACACTTCTGGAATCTCTGGCTTACATGACTACATAAAGTTTCAAGTAAAATCTTGTGTTTACCAACCCCTCCTCAAGAAACTCAATGGTTGTTGCTTAGTTTCTCTTAAATGTCAGATAATAAAGTCCCTCCTTTTGCAAATTTTCATCAACTTTCTTTATGTCAACTCTCAGGAAGCATCTAACTACTCAAGACATGATGACCTAGATCAATTGACAGAAAGTGAAAAATTTAGCACAAAACCAATCAGTTACAGCAGCATGGTCCTTGGATTTGGTTTGTCCCCACGGAAACACACACACACACACACACACACACACACACACACACACACACACACCTACAGATCTGGAATATCAGAGAGAATATTTACAGCTATCAAAGGTTACTTTAGATCAGCAAAAATTTTGGTTGGAGGATAGCTGCATGAATTTTTAATGTTACATTTCTAGGTTACTATATAATTACAAATTTCATTTTGAAATAAATATTCAGTGGATAAATACTAAGTGGATTTCTTCCACTAAGTGGATATATTTGAAATAATGCTATAATTAATAACAACAAACTATATTTTTCCAACTAGTATATTTTGTGATTTATTACATTGGTATTTCTGTGGCTGCTAGTATTTAATTTTCTCTAATGGTCTTGAGAGAAATTATATGCATGGTGGGATACTGTGCTTCAGATTTCCATACTTGTGCCCCTTTTTTCATTATGTTATACCGATGTAGATATAGTTTTTAAAAATTACTGTTTTGGACCATTGCCTTGCTCTTGCTGTTGCCATGCTTCCTGGCTTTGGCCTCCTCCCCCACCTTGGGAAGGTGAATCTTCTCTCTCCCTTCTCCTTCTCTCTCTAATTTACTTTTAAATTAGCTTTTCTTTCTTCGCCGAAAAATAAAAAATTAGAGTAATTAAAAATAAAAATTACTGTTTTGGTATTTGTCAGGTCTGTGGATTTAAACTTTCTTCCATCGGTTGACCCTGAAACAGTTCTTCAGACAGGTAAGATGAAAAATATACATTTATTGTTGATCATAATCCAGTAAACCAGCTGGATTGATTGGTTCATGAAATAAACATTAATTTAGGATGTATATGGCATAGTACATGTGCAAGGATATCAAGGGAAAAAGTTTTCAAACTGCTTTGTAGTTTAGCCTTACAGTATGTTTGTATCTCTCTCTTGAAATATTTGTATTTATTTTCGTATCTGTAAAATGGAGATAAAAATTTCTATTTCAGTGGTTTGTTACAAGAAATATTGAACTCATTATGTGCCAGGCATTGTGATTTTTTTTTCTTTTTTTGAGTTGGAGTCTCACTCCATCACCTAGGCTGGAGTGCAGTGGTATGCACACTCACAGCCACCCCAGTGTCGACCTGCTGGATTCAGGCAATCCTTCCGCCTCAGGCTTCCCAGTAGTGGGAACTACAGGTGCACGCCACCACACCTGGCTAATTTTTTTTAATTTATTGTAAAATCGAGGTCTCACCAAGTTGCCCAGACTGGTCACGAACCAATGGGCTCAGGCAATCCTCATGCCTTGGCCTCTCAAAGTGCTAGGATTACAAGCTTGAGCCACTGTGCCCGGCCAGGCATTGTATTTTTATTTATTTTAATGTTTCATTCTCCTAACAGCCCTTTGAAAGAATTAATATTAGTTTCTCCATTTTATACTTGAGGAAGACAAAGCTTAGAAATTATAAAAAATAACTTGCTTAAGATCAAGTTACTATTCAACTCTATCATCGTGGCTCAAAACAGGTCTAAATCTAAAGCCACTAGCTATGTAAAAACACATCACCTGTGTAAAAACACTTAGCGCCTTGCAGTTGCCTTCACATAGTGAGTGTTCAGTACTGCCTGATATGTATATTCCAACCCAAATATCTTCAATAGTGTTTCACAAATTCCAGGAGAACAAATTGGAATTCCTACCACTGGAAATTCCTTAATTTTATTTCTGGTCCATTTTTTCTAATAATAATTTATAATTCTAATCCTAGGTGTATCAGGCACTGTTCTAAGCACTTTACGTATGTTGACTTATTTTTTCTCCACCATAGTCCTGAGAAGTAAGTGCTAGTATCATTCCAATTTTAAGCGTGAAACTGAAGTACAAAAAGATTAAGTACTTAATGAAGTATATACAGCTAGTAAATGCTAGAGTTGGGATTTGAACTCAGGCAGTTTGGTTTCAAAGTATGATATTTGAACTCATTGTGTTGTGCTGCTTCTCTAATGGAAATGGTATCCAAAGGAAGATGTTAAGAGTAACAATCGCTAAGGTAGAAAAACTAAATGTCTTCTGACAGTAGTGGTTTTTATGAATATATAAAAAGTAGACTTTGCACAAATCTTTAAAACAAGTGTTTTTCCAGTTATAAAATATAATGAAAAATAAAGAAATCAATGACAAATATCTTTATTATACTGACTCAGTTTCCTAAGTTTTTCTAGTATGATATATATCTTATTTCCTTAGAGAACAAAGAGATACTTAAAGTTTTTGAATTATTATGTATTTTGAAGTTACAGTAGGCTGTCACTAAAAATACTGTTCTAGATGCAAATCTTAATTCCATGTATATATTTAATATTTTGAAAGCTTTTCAAGTCATTGTATTTAGAAGCTTTTAAAATTTGTCTTTTAAAAATTAACTTCTTATGCTTTTAGGTCCTATTTAACTTGTTGTTAACTTTTAAAGTAGAGACTGAAAAGACTATAAAATGGATAGGTTTACAACAATCTTGGATTTTTTTTTTTTTTTTTTGAGTTGGAGTCTCACTCTGTTGCCCAGGCTGGAGTACAGTGGCATGCTGACGGCCACTGCAATCTCGACCTGCTGGGCTCAGGTGGATCTTCTACCTCAGCCTTCCAAGTAGCTGGAACTACACTTCCGTGCCACCACCCCTGGCTAATTTTTTTATTTTTTTGTAGAGATGAGGTCTCGCTACATTGCCCAGGCTGTTCTCAAACCCATGAGCTCAGGCAATCTTTTCACCTTGGCCTCCCAAAGTGCTGGGATTATAGGCGTGAGCCACCGCACCCGGCCCAGATATTTTTTTTATAAATTGAAACTATTTCCAAGCCATTATAAGTTTGGTTTCTCTATATTGAAAGCCACTTAAATATATGATTCTTTTTGGATAAAGATGAAGAGAATTTAAATATCTGTATATTGTTTTGGCACCTGAATATTAATTAGAATAAATTTATCCCGGAAAAACATCTTTATTTACTTTTAAAATCATCTAATACCGGTAGCTTTAGATGTTGTACATCTACAATTTTAGTTTCTCATGTGTGAGTAGATTTTCTAAATGAGTTTGCTGTAACTGGATCACATTCAATTCATTTCTAACAATTTAATGACTTTTTATGATTCACAGTGTGAAGATTCTCATAGAGATTATTTAAATTATTTTGTACCCGTAATAAAAACTTTCTTTAATCACACATTTGTTACACTGTATCAAAAATGCAACTTTTTCTTTAAGTGCTATGATTGAAAATATGGATTAATACTGAAATCTTACACCATACTGTTTGGATTAATATTATCAAACAGAGATCCCATAGTGTAATATTGCTCTACAGGGAAATAGGATTGGTTGCCAAAGTATCCTGAGTATTGAGTCCACCAATAACAAGGATATGATTGATAGAAAAAATATATATAAGCCACATATATGCTATACTTAATGTGTGGTAAAGCATATGTATGTTATATATATTTATGATGCATGATATAGAATTTTAATATACTATCTAGTTTGCATAGTATGTAGATGCACATGCAAATATATATACGTATGCAATTTTTCTATTGTGATACATATATTTTTAAATTGTATTTCATACTTGTGATGTGGTGGGTAGATAGATTTTAAAAATAAATTATTAGAATTGAGAAGGTTCGGAAGTAAGAATTGTATTTCTATATAGATATTAATTACAAGTATCTTTTATTTTTAAAGGGCATGAATTGTTATCCGAATTGCAGCAGCGTCGATTTAATGGCTCCGATGGAGGAGTCTCCTGGTCTCCTATGGATGATGAACTGCTTGCACAGCCGCAGGTTATGAAATTATTAGATTCACTCAGAGAGCAGTATACCCGCTACCAAGAAGTTTGTAGGCAACGTAGTAAGCGCACACAGTTAGAGGAGATTCAGCAGAAGGTGATGCAGGTAGGTGTCTGATTTGAATTTTTTTTTAACTCTTTTTCTTTTTTTTTTTTTTAACTCTTTTTCATTCCAAATTTTTTTCCTGATTGAAGGACGATGGCACCAGTGAGACTCGGTACCCTTTGAGGCCAAGAGATTTATTAGAGCAGCGGCTACAGGGAGAGGGAAGGAGGTCTGTAACCGCCTGGTGGGAAAAGGGAGTGAGAGAGAGAGGGCAAGAGAGAGGTCTGTATTTATCGGTTTTGGGAGGGGGCGGCCTGTGC